AGTAATCATGTATGCATATTAAATTTTCATAAAATATATTTATAATAATATCTTAAAACATCCTACAAATATCCTGAACCGTCCTGGACATATTCAGGATGATCCTGAGGATGTCTTGTGCTGTCTGGGTTTATACGATGAATGTGTATATTTATAAGCTTATGTGAATATTTATAAGCTCTATATTTATAAAAAAAGCAAACTTTCTCTAGTAAAAATTATAAATGTCAAAGTAATTTAAATATTCGGCCAACATGTATTTGATAATATAAACTGATAAAATATTGTTGCGTCCCTGCGAGTCGTCTGTGGTAGTTAATCCTGAAGTTGCTCCCGTCTCTAAGAGATCATCTCCAAACACGTCGCTAAGGGTTGTTGTAAAACAACGGCGGACATCTTGAGAGAAAGATCGGCCATCTTGAGTCTCGTGACGGATGACATTCCGCGCAGACGTATTTGCCGATTACGATATTATAATTATTACTTGTTCTGAGTTCTGTGTTTGGCTGAGTTCCATTATTAAAGTTCCTTTTGTTCTTTCTAATAAAGTGTATTCTTTATTTACGGCGTGGTACGCGAGTGACGATTGTGTTTCGCGTGTTCGAGATTTATCGAGATAGCCCGCGGACGCAACATTTTGGGGGCTCGTCCGGGATAGAGCACACAACGAGCTATGGCTACGGGAAATGAGCAGCAAGATTCAACTGGAGTCACGACACGGAAAAGACTTCGAGCTGGGACTCCGCTCCGTACCGTAGAGATGGCAACGGAAGCTGCGACATCAGGACCGTCTTTGGAGGCGGTTACTCTCCAATCTGCGTTCCTTTTGTTCTTTTAAAAGAGTGTTAATCATTTACGTCGCGGTACGCGAGTGCCGTTTGTGTCGCGCGTGTTCGAATATTATCGAAGTCGACGCGCGGACGCAACAATATGTACCAAATTTTCTTTTTGTTTCGTAAATATAATTTGTGATCAATTGTCGCAAAGAAATTATGCAAATATAAAAAAATACATGTATGTATATTGTATTATATAATGTATTTAGAATAACAAAACAGAAAAAAAGTGATTGTATATTTCATATATATTCTAAACTAAAAAAATTACTTGTATTACTAAATAACATTTATTAATTATTATTATTTATTAAATTACTAGCATTATTTCATAAAGAAAAATGGAATGCGGATGTGAGAATAAAAAATAGGATCAAATAAGATATAAAAAAATATAATTAAAATTAATTTTATTTATATTTTTCATGTGTAGTATATGTATAGTATGTGTGTGTGTGTGTGTGTGTGTGGGTGTGGGTGTACGCGTTACAATTTATATAATTGTGTGTGTGTGTGTGTGTGGTTATATTTAATTTGTACTTTTTTAGATATATAATTTTCTTTATGTTTTATTATATATATATTTTTAAAATGGACGATAGTTAGATGCGGGCGGTATTGGCACGTATGTGGATGGTCCCGACGGCACAGGCATGTATCCAGACAGTGCGGGATGCGCAGGCACGTATCCAGATGATGCGGGCCCGTATGCGGATGGCGCGGGCACATAAATACATGCGGGCGGTACCTGCACATATTCGGATGATACAGGCATTGCAGCCATATACCCGGATGGTGCAGACATGTACCCGGGTGGTGCGGGCAGTACGGACACGTATGCAGGTGCCGATACGGGCATGGCTGTGTGCACGTTTCCTGATGGTATGGATACATATCCTGTGCGCACAGCTGGTGTGTACGTCCCCGGCATGTATGTAGATGGCTGTACATACATACCGGGAACGTACTTTTTCCGTTGTTGCTTCTTCCTTTCTTTATTTATGGCGCGTCGCACCGCATCATTTTAACGCTAAAAAATAAAAATATTATTAGTAATTAATAATTTATAACATATTATTATTTATCATATTAATTTGCAGTTCAGACGTTCATTTTATATGTGAAAATCAAAATATACAGCATTGTAATTGCATACATTTTTGGCGTTTTTAGCACCGTCACGCACGACACATACATGCACACATACACATAGATATTATCAAATCATAATATTATATATCTTATTTCTTATAAT